GTGCTAGCAATGTGAAAAGGCTGTTAATTAAAGAAGAAGCACCGTGGTATTTTTCACTTGGGAATCAGTTCCCAATAGAATGGTCATTTGCCACTTGCTAGCATATCCACAGATTAAAAGGTGACTAGCTCCAAGGGTTTGCCTTTCAGTAGTGCTGAAAGAAATGATTTGTGCCATTTGCAGATGGCTTTCATTTGTCAGAAGCGGTCACTCTCCATATCCATTGCTGACAGGACGATTGTGGGAAATAGTGGGCAAGGGTAGACTCTATTTGTGCTAGCTTTAGAGTCATTCAGTATCATTTAACTCTCATGCTAATTGCTGCATGATAAAAACATTTATCTTCCCTTAATTTTAATACGTCTCTCTTTCCAAATTGTTTCCTTAGGTACCATTCAAGGGGATTGCCCATCTAATTATCTTTTTTTTTTTTTTTCTGAGACATAGTCTTGCTTTGTTGCCCGGGCTAGAGTGCCATGGGTTCAGCCTAGCTCACAGCAACCTCAAACTCCTGGGCTCAAGCAATCCTTCTGCCTCAGCCTCCCGAGTAGCTGGGACTACAGGCATGTGCCACCATGCCCGGCTTTTTTCTATATATATATTTTTTTAGTTGTCCAGATCATTTCTTTCCATTTTTTAGTAGAGACGGGGGTCTCGCTCTTGCTCAGGCTGGTCTCGAACTCCTGACCTTGAGCGATCCACCCGCCTTGACCTCCCCACAGTCCTAGCATTACAGGCATGAGCCACCGCGCCCGGCCCCATCTAATTATCTCTTTAGCAGGGGGTTGTGGGTCGCTCTGGGTGAAAGCAGGGTGGAGAGGCACGCGGGAGCTGTCTTTTTTGGCTAGAAATGAAGGAGTCTGAGTTTGTTTTCATCATCAGAGTTGCTCTTGGGATCAGTGTGTGAGTCTGTGAGGGGTGGCAGATTGGGGACAGTTGCTAAAATTGTAGTGCAGCTGGTACTCTTCCCTTGAGGAAAACCACTTTCATCTCCAAGAGTTCTTAAAGCTACGACTTTCCCTGATCATGGCTAACTGTAAGGAAAGACACATGCCCCAGACAGATTTTTTTTCCTCCTTAACATAGATGCTGAATTTGCTGTCTTGATCTGTTTCCCCACTAATTAGTTCAGTCCCGTCTTGTCATAGACATTTCCTGACATATATGCTAAGGCAACAAATATCTTTATCCGAGCCTTTTTGTATCCTTTAACCAACTCTCTTCCTCTGGCCTTACAACCCGATGCCCTTATACATATTTTGAGTTAAAAAAATTCTTCCTTATAAAAAGGTTATATTATTTTATGAATGCCCCCCAGAATCTGCTTTTGTTACTGTAGAACGAGATTGATCTGGAGAGCAAGGGCTCAGGCTCCAAGTCACCTCTGTTCCTAATTCCCGCTGGCAAGCCCCTGCCCAGGCTCACCGTCTCTTAGGGATTTAGTTTCCTCAGCTGGAAAATGAAGAGGTTCGTTGAAGATACCTTTTACACCCCCAAAACATCTATTTTTAAATATCAACACATAAAGATTTTAACAAAAGAAAAATGGTAAATAACCAATAGGAACATCTGAATTATTCATGAAAATACTATAAAAAGAAATGACTCAGCTGTAAAGTTTGCAAGCCACTAATAAAGTACAAATTCTAACTAATATCTCCACTAGTTTGAGGAGTCTGAGTAATATTAAATTTTGGAAAAGCAAACATAAATATATGACATTATTAGTGGTAAATAACCATTTAAAAATTTACATATAATTAGCAGCAAATGTCATGTAACACACAAACACAAATACACACACAAGACTTATAGAAGTAAGCAGTATTTTTCAGCAAATTATCTCCCTTTCCAAGATTGGACATTCAGAGTTCTCTGTTTATTGGCTAAAGTTGTAATTAATTAAAATTTGGACTATAATTGTGTCAGTATAGTAAAAACTGTAATGCTATGGCCATGATGTAAGGATCTTTATTCAAAGGGGTTAAAAGGACAGACATTCAATGTTTTTCCACAGTTTCCCAAAAGGACAATTTGGGGCAGCTATAGGGTGACATTAAACATTTGAACTGAATCTACTACATCATCATCTATCTGCAGAATATAATAAAACAAACATACAATTATTAATAATATTTTCACTATCATCGTGGGTGATATTAATAGCTAGAAAAATTATGTTTTACTGACTATTGAGATATTATTCAGTGGTCTTGGTTTTGGATAGTTAACTTGTGGGTTTGGATGAAAGTCATTGCATTCTACTTCAATTCCCCAGATCAAAACATACTCCCAGTACCAAAAAGAAATTATGGCACTGGGGAACTTTTCTATTTACCTTACTACATGGAGGAGCTGTTTTTCTCAGAAATAATTGATGTTTTCTAAAATCTGTTAATCACTGAAAAATCAAAGCTAAGATCTCGACTTACCCTCAAAATTGAGAGTGCTCAAAAGAGATCAGTAATAAATGCTTCTCTATTTTGAACGAGTAATGTACAACAAAATACACAAGACAATATTTTATGTATTTAGTAGCAGTCAATGTTACAGAAATGGTATAAAACAAGTGGGGATCATCAAAACTCTTGTGAATTAAATATTTGCAAATCTGGCTGAAAATTAAATTTTTGTAGTTCTCATTTTGGTATCCCATAAATTTACACTTGCAATACAAGAACTCTTTTTAAAAGTGAATATAAAAAAGTTAATTCATTGAGTTATAGTAGAGGTTTCCCAAGAATATTTCTAAGATGTCTACAAAATTTTTTCTCCATAAAATGAATTCTAATATTTTGAATAAGTTAAATATTCAACATCTCTACTAACTGCTTGATTGTGAACATTAATGACTCATTTTTTAATAAACTCCAACATACATCTAAATATGGTTGATTACTGAGTTTTCATTCAAATGGACAAAGCAGTGTTAGAAAAAAATGCCACATCTATTTATTTTCATTTAGGAACTCAACGCAAAATATATGCATTTATTTTTGGCAGCACGTTTATTGTCATACATTTGCTTAAGATAGTATTAAAAACCTGACTTGTAATTTCTTAGCAGAAAACGAAAGATGATAAGAGACTGGGAAAGGAAGAGAGTCATTCCAAGATTGCTAGTTGGCAGGAGGGAACCAAATTGGAACTTAAAAATTGTCTGAGGATAATCTGCAGATTGAATGATTCACATATGGATAATGGAATGCAGATTTATTAGCAACTTCTGGGAGAAGAAATTGTGGTTGAATCTGAGATAGAAATTGTAGCTTAATTCTTTGGCTTTATAACAAGATCTTTTGGAAATGAAATTGGGTACAAGAATGAATAAGATGACTGAAAGAATCAAGGCTAACATTTTAAAACACTAGTATCTGCAATATTTATTTATAATCTATTATATGTGAGTTATCATTTAATCATAACTGCCAACAACACTGTAGGTGTTACTATTCTCCTTTTATAGATAAAGAAACTAAATCCTGGGTTGGGTAAGCTATTGTCAAAGGTCAAATAGTAAGTGACAGAGGGACATAAATCCGTTTGGCACTGACGCTCATGTTACTGATTACTATAACATGATGCCTCTGTTACTAGAACAGAGGTTCCTAACCTGGTGTCCTAAACCTGGGATGATCATGGGAAGTACAATATTATACACAATTTCATATTTGTGTAAATTTTTTCCCAGTTATATCACAGATTCAAAGGGATGAACAACTAAGAGAAAAGTAAGAAACACTGGACTAGAGCCATCAACAAAACTAACACAGTAGTTTTCTTTTAAACAAAGACAACAATAAAAACATGGATTTAGGTTTAAAACTAGATGGATATAATAGTGGCCTTCTGGGAAGGGAACAACAAAAATATTTGGAGTTTTAACATATAGAAAGTTCTAAATGTTATTAACAGTGTGATGAAGCTCCTTGGAGAGTCAGAGCAGCCTTGGCTGCAGGAAGACAGGGAAGGAGGCAGGCACCTCTCTTTGGGGTCCAGGTTATTCAGGTAATATGGTGAGTTCCACATTCCAGAGCAACACTGAGAAATGGAGTGAGGTCCATTCAGGGGAAGGTGATAAGAATGGTGATGGGTATAAAAACACTAACATATGAGGAACAGTTGAATGTTATGTGAATAATGGGTTGGAGAAGAGAACACATGACAGAAGAAGACTGTTGCATTGATCAAAGAGAATGAGTCAGACCCAGAGGTTAGGAGGAGGTAGAGTTCTACTTGGTCTACAATGAGAAGAATTTTATTGAATAGGGAATTAGTGGCCCCACAATCACTGCAAGGGTTGAAACAAAGGCTGTCAGCGGTAAACCACTTGAGGCTAAGTAAAACTAAAAAATAAAATCATCACAGAAAAGGCCTAGGAATCTATATGTTAAAATCCGGATGAAACACAAGGTTGGTGCTAGCTGCTAGAAGACCATCTACCAGAATAACTGTAAAAGTTATCACTTCATGAAGAAAAAAGTCTCAACAGACAACTTCTACATTCTCTTTAATTTCTAAACACTGAATGAGCAAGTCATACCATACAGCAATATTTGATAATCATCTGTAGAAATGAATCCACTCTCAGGCCAACAGCATTACTACAATGCATTTTAGTAGGTGTCTTAACATATCATGACTTCTAGAATGAAGACAAATTTCTAAGGTGTCTTTCAGAAATGTAAATATTCTCAAGTACTTTAAAAATGCCAACCTTTGAAGATAGTCTGACTCATAAGACAGGATGTTATCAGTCCTCAATGAATGCAGTAAGGTGGGAAGAAGATGAACTTCAGAACCCAGGGAAGCAACCTGGGGGTGTTGCTGGTCTCCCGCAGACTCTGGCCTGATAGAATCCGGGAGGCTGAGCAAACCTGAATATTCCCCACGCCAACTCTTGTTGGGCCAGTGCTAGGGCTCTGCCAATACAAATTCACGTACATAAAATTCTCCCAGCCCTCCCCATTTCACATACTAAAGAAAATGCAAGTGCTCACTGTCATTTCTGAGGAAATTATTAAGCAGTTGGAAAAGAGGAAAACTATCCCAAGAGTCTTGTGGTTGAGCCTCCAGTGCAGTATCCATATCCACTGTGAATAAAGACCAAAATTTCTCTGCATGTTCAGCCAGTAAATCAGGCCACCAGGCAAATGCCTATAAAAGGATAAAGAAAAACAGTAGAAATAAATTACTTGTTAGAAACACCCACAGATACTGTATGTATCACTTGAAAACATTTTATAACATGTCTTCGTTTCACAAACAAGTATGATAAAAAAAATGTAATATTTTTAAAAGGTGAGAAAAATTTTATAAATACACATATTTAAATAATAAATAAATGTGGCATTGATTAAAAATATAAAATCCAAAGTAAAATTAAAATGTACAATGACACTCATTGCTTTATCAAAGAAATATATGTTGAGTTTACAACATTTGGAGAATATATAAAACAAAATAAAAAGAAAGAAAGATTCCTTGTATCTCATAATTTAAGCATAACTACTATGACTGTTTTGGTGTATTTATTTCCAATATTCATTTTTGCTGCGAATAGAAACATTAAAACATTTGGTATCATACTCTATAATGTTTTCCTATGATTTTATTGACAGCATAATATTCTACTATACAGATATGTTATTTATTTAACCATTCCCCTATTAAAATGGCTGTTTTCAAATTTTTGCTGTACCCAATGAGAGTGTGATAAATCTTTAAGTAAAAATCTAAATGAAGTACTGATTATTTCCTTAGGATAAACTTCCTAAAATTACTTGACTAAAGGGTATGCATTTTAGAGTCTTTACAGATTGCAAACTGCTCTCCAGGAAAAATGTTTGTTCCCATTCTTTCTCCATCCAGCAGCCAGTCAGCATTTTAAAACATAAACTGGATCATACTATTTCTCTGCTTCAACTGCTTTTGTAGCTTCCCAATGGACTTATGATAAAATTCAAAACACTTAAATGGCTTACGAAACCTTATATGATCTCTGGGTCTAAAATATACTTTTACAGAGAGGAATTTCCTGACCCTCCAAGGTAGATTAGGTCCTCCTAGATAATCTCTCTGATAACCAGTATTTTTAGTTCATAGGACTTAGCATTGCTTATATGATGACACCTGTAAATATTTTAATGTCTGCCTCTTAAATTAGACTACAAACACTATAAAGACAACGGTCTATGTTCTATTAATATTTATCATTTTATGCTCAC